TTTTATCACCTTATTTCTGTAAATTACTTGTTGAATTGATTATTAGACATCTACTGAATTAAAAAATTTCATAAATTTTATATCATAAATAAAGAAAAAATGGCATTTTAGTTAATGAAATAGACATGAAAATTGACGATTTTATTAATTAAAATGAATATTTCAATCAAGTAAATGGAATGAAAATGTTCATTTTGATTAAATGAATTTTGAAATACATTCATTTTTATGTCTGTTTCATCATCATTTAAAATGCAATATTTTTTGATCTATCAAGTATCTATAAGTAGTTACTAAGTTTTTCTTTATCAATATTCCTTTTTATTTTATATCATTCAAATACTATACATAAAAAGAATTGTAACTTAAAACAAAAATTCGTCAGTGTTATTAATTATATTAATTCAAATTGTTGATGGTATCTTCACCAAGTAATTGACATAATTCATTTAAACGTCTTTGCATTTCCGGAACACCAGATAATTGAGATTCAAGACGTTTTTTTTCACCTTTTAATGTTAAACGTTTTTCTGTGTCAAGAATTTCAAATTTCCATTGACCTTGACCATCAAATTGAAGTAGATGTGTATGATAAGCCCTTGAAAGAAGAAAATAATATCAAAAACAAAGACTATATAATTTTAAATTATTAAAATAAAACTTAACTAACCAAAGAGAAGGTCGATGTGTTATTGTAAGTAATGAAATTCCTAATTGTTTTGCACGTTCATATATTTTTCCTTCAACATCAATTGATACAGCACTTGTACATTCATCAAGTAATGCATATTTAGGTTTATGATAAAAAATTCGAGCTAAACCAAGACGTTGTTTTTCACCACCAGAAAGTATATCTTTCCAATCACGTTCAATATTTAAACCACCTTCACGTTGTACAATATATTGTAATTCAACATTATTAAGAATTTCTATTAATTGATCATCATCAATACGAACTTGATCAATTGTATGTGGATAAATTATTTGATCACGTAAAGTACCTGGACACATATAAGGTCGTTGTGGAATGAGAAAGAAATTTGAAGAATGTGGCCGATGAAGACGACCAGAATAGACTGGCCATAAACCTCGAATAATTCGAAAGAATGAAGATTTACCACAACCATTAGGACCAGTAATAAGAACATGCATAGTTGGTGTAATCTAACATAAACAAGTATAGAATGTTTCAAAAGTTAGGTTAAAAAAAAAAGCAATATGAATATCTCTTTAACTATTCAAACGATTTACGTCAGGTTATTATAGTTTTATTTCACATAAATTTGTCTTTAATAAGTGTACAAAGTGATCATTATAAATGATGTTTTTACACCTATTAGACATGAATATATGTGAAATAATTTTCGAGCGAACTTTTGAAATACTCTGTATAGATATTTTTGAGTTCATTGATGTAAAAATTTTACTTTTAATGAAAGATTTTCGACAAGAACATCACCATTTGGAGTAATAATTGGTAGATTTTCAGTAATTATATCTTCATCTGATTCAATAATTTGACCTTCTATTATAAGAGAACAAATTGACGATTTTTATTCGATCGTAAAGAAAGTTAACCTGCTTGTTGATTGAAAGTAAATTTTCGTTTCATGCCTGTATTTGAATGTTCTTCTATTATCATAGGAATTCGTTGATATCGTTCATGTGCACATTCATCAAAAACATGAAGCATTTTATAAACTCGATTTGTATGACCCGATAATTCAGCAATCTTAATGAAATCTTTAAATTTAAAAATGAAAATTCATCTAAAGAAATTTTACTTCTTTATATGATGATATAATGCGTTCTAATGCATCAGCACCAGATGATAATAAATTTTTACTGATTGTAAATTCTTCTGTTCGCGAACTAATGCCAAGTGGATCGCCTACTGGATCTAACAACAGCAAAAAAAAGAAAAGAAAGAACGAAATATTCATACACTAGTTTGTATATATTAGTTACCATCTGTTATAGCTGGTCCATCATATGTGAGGAATGGTATAGCAATAAATATCATTCCACCTAAATAGAAAATTAAAGAATAAATAAATTTATGCATACGATACTAAGCATTTAAGTGAAACTATATATTGTCGACAAAAATAAAAACTATATTAGGCTTATATTTTTGTTTTACTAGTACTGTATATTTATGTATAGTTACATGAATGCCAAAAATATTTCATAAGAAATTGTTCAAGCATAATAAACCATAATCTTTTTTTAATAATTAAATTCGTTTGTGTTCGTAATTGATAATATAATTTGAATATCCATTTTTTTTCTACCTATTTATAATTAAAAAATTGTTTGATGAAAAATCTAAATTTTTTCTTTTTTAACATACTTCATGACCATCATAAAATGCAATTTCTTCAGCATTAGCAATAATTCTTGTATGTGCAAAACGAAGTAAACCTCGTTGTCTTGCTTCTTCAGAAACAAGTTTACCAAAGTGTGGTGAAAGTTGTCGAAGTGCCCAACATGTCATAAAAATGACTATACTTGTTAAAATAGGTACTTCTATTTATAAGGAAACAAAAATTTGAACTGATTAAAAATTCAATTTAATATCTTTGGTGTTTACCTTTAAGACCACGTGCATGTTTTTTCTGTTGAATCATAGTTACAAATGTCCATGATATAACAATAATATCAAAAAATGGTTTTGTTAATTGAGATAATAGATGTGTTAATTTTGATGTAAATATTTCAATATCATCTGTTAAATTTTGATCTGGTGTAAGTAAACGACAATCTAAATTTGATACGCGAAAATAGGTTTGGTTCTATTTTCAGTAGATTAATTGAAATTAAAATAATATTATATAGATTAAAAAACAAAAGTAAAATTCTTACACGAAAATATAATTCATATGCATAAGAAGTTAATTTTGAACGAAGTGCTAATGCAAGTTTTGATTCAGCATATTTAATTAAACTATTAATAAAACTAGCTGGAATAGCAATAATAAGAAAAATACAAATTGTACGAATAAGTTCACGTGAATTTCGTTGTACTAATGATTTTACAATAGCACCATCGAGACGTGCTATATAAATTGAAAGAAATGTTCGTATAATAAGAGTAGTTAAATGTGTAATCAATAAAACAAATGAATCACTACGTAAACGTGGTATTAGAATTCGAATAATTACAAAAAGTTGATTAAGAAATCGTTTATGAATTGCAATTAATGATAATGAAGGAATATTAGTAATCGATTCTTGTTGTGACTGAACAAGTTTGCAATGTTTTTTTAATATAAGATATCGACGATAACGACGAAGAAGATAGATACTTAAAGCAAATGATGATGAGAAAAGTAAAATCTTTATCCGATGAGAACGTACTATATTCATAGTAGTCAATAAGTGTAAACAATAGATAGATGCTTTGCTTTTTTTTTTCTATTTTGTCTGTATGCAGGGACCCTTTTGATCACATAACAGGTGACTTGATGATTATCATGTCATTTTTCGTTATAAATTTGTCAATCAGTTGATTGGTAATGTTTCAATGGATGCTATGTAACCAACCGTGAATACTATTTGTATCTTTTTCCTTTTTTACAAAGATGTCATCCTGAATAATTGATAAAATTAGAGAAAAAAAAAAAAACACCGCCAAAATATTTCACTATTTATATTTATTATACTTATTATTTTTTTCTTTCATCATTAATGATAAAAACGAAAAGTTTATAGTTATGTCTATAGATCATTCACATGATTTAGTTAATATGGAATGTTTCGATGTTACTTACACGACTGATATCATTCGAAAAATAGTGGAAAATATTCTTAATAAAAAACAATTCAATATGGAAAGTATTGATACATGGAGTCGACAGATTGTTGATTCTTGTCAAAAATCTCTGTCAGAAATCTACAATTCGTTTAAAACAATTATTACTACAATGATTATTCCTAAAAACGATGAAAATATACATATTGGCAATGCTTGTTTATGGGATTATCAATTGGATGGAAGTACAATTATTAAGTAGGTAAATAAAATTTAGCAAAAAGAAACTTAAACAATTTTTTATTTTAGATGGGAAAACGATTCAATGTAAGGCATGATATAGACGAAAAAATTTCTTTTCTATTATCACTTTTTGTTTTGTACAGGTATTGTGTTGTGTCAGCATTTGCGTTATCATTATCATCTACTACTTGATTTACTGTCTGAAACTAAAGTATATGTGCATAGTACTAATTGTGCAAATAAAATATCTGAGTGAATTGCAATTTGTTGGTACGATTGACACAAAAAACTGAATGTAAGTCTAAACAATTTCTGATTCATGTATTTTGTTATATTCTATGTCTATTTTAAGCATCGAAGTTTTTTTCCAACATTTCATTGAATCTTAAGAGAAAAAGACGTTGTACAGTTTCATTTTTGTTTAATTCAATAATAAAATTAGCTTTATTCATTTAACATGTTCAAGTCATTTCTTATATCTGTGTGAAGGACTGAAATTAAAAGAAAAAAAAAGATGAAAACACACTTTCCATATCCCGTTCATACAAATTATATTCAAAGAGTTTGACTGAAAACATTTACTTAAAAATTGTCATTTTACTTTTTTTTTTAATAATAATTTGAATTTCTCTTGAATAGTACAATATCAAGAACTAATATTGTTATCACTAATAGAACTTTCTGAAAATAGTACAAATGGAAGAATTTTGAATCAAACAAACAAAGATCAGTGTATTATTGACAAAAATGTTCACGTTAATTTTAACGACCTGAAAATATCACTCAACGTTCTGCTGATGCATTTTTCTTTCATCATTTTTGAATAGATTATCAACACTGTGTTCATTTAAAGCTGAAAAAAATTTTAGAATTTATATGTACATATCTGCATAGCCTTCTTATAAACTACATCGTAGTGATATTCAGTAATACTTAGAATTTTGTGTTTGTTAATATTATTACTCATTTCTATTCAAATAATGCTAAGGGTATTTTATCCTGCATGGTATTACATAATTGCAATAATCTTGAACCTCGAGCTAATGGACAAGTAAGAATTTCTATTTTAAAAGATAAATCTTATTGAAATTGATTTATATTAAAATTATACAAAATTTAATGTTAGAACAGAAGATTTATTAGAAAATTTTAACATATTATATAAAACTAATATATTTCTTCATTTCTATTAATTAGATAAAATTATTTTACATGGATAATCGTACATTCATATTTCATAATGCTCAAGATTTTTACATGCTACTCTGCGATCGATTATATAATTTAAAAAGACTATCATTTGGTATCTATGATTCATGGAATGAATGGAGTTGGAAACCATCAAGTAGACGACAATTATATGAACAATTACTTAGTCGACCTTATTGATTACGACAGAGTTGGAACCGGACAGGTTTTTTCTGTCCGGTCCGGTCCGGCCGGTTAAAAAATCTGTCCGGTCCGGTCCGGTCAGCAGCCGGCCGGACGAATTTTACAGCAAAACTGGCAAAAATCCGGCAAAAATAACGGACCATAAAAGTATCTGTTAACATAAAATGTTGGCGAAGGGGAATTGAATATTCACATGCAGAAATCCCAACTAGGGGTGATCAATTTACATTTACGAAAAATTTATAAATCCAAAAATAAATTTTAAAGAGTTTTATTTATTTCGAATTTAAATTGGATTTACATAAATTTAAATTTTGTAAAATTATTTAAATTTATTTAAATCCAGTTTAAATCAATATAAATTCAATCTAAATCAAATAAAATTCAATTTAAGTTCATTTAATTGGATTTAAATTCATTTACATTAATTCATATAGGATTTAAATCCAATTAAATTGATTTAAATTGAATTTTATTTGGTTTAGATTGAATTTATACTGATTTAAACTGGATTGAAATAAATTTAAATAATTTAAAAAAATTTAAATTTATGTAAATCCAATTTAAAATTATAATAAATTAACAGCAAATCGCCACCCTTAATCCGAACTGGAAACTAAAACTTGGGACTGAAACTCTCCCTTCATATTTTATAGCAAGGTGTCGATTTTTCGAGCCCGACATCGATATAAATTAGCTATTCAGATCAAATCTGTTTTTCATCTTAATTTCAAAAAAAAAAAAAAAAAAGAAAGTTTATAACACATCTAACATAAAAATGTAAATTTTTATTTTTCTTGATTCAGGCAGCTGCCTAAGTAGCACAAGAGAATAAATTATTTGATCAAGGTTAAATTGAGCGATACACGAGAAAGAAATCGATAGAGATATAAAGAGAACAATCAATCGTTTATAGTCAAGTCGAAGACAAGATATCTATTGAGTCTTTCGCAAGCACATTTTTCTGACTTGAAAATATCATAAAAAAACCATTTTCAGTAGAGAAAATTCTTGGATGCAAACAACAATTTTGTAATGATGAACTGGCAAAAATCCGGTTCTGTCCGGCCCGGTTTAACTTCTTGTCCGGTCCGGCCGGACCGGAGCCGGATTGCCGGACCGGTTCCAACTCTGGATTACGATGGTCTTCTAAAATAATTCAAATTTGGCTTTAATACTATATCAATTATGTTAAGATATTTTGTTATTGTGAATTTTATCTATATTCATGTATATATATATCAATAAAATCGTACAATATGTTGTTTTTCTATTCGATATTTTAAACAAGTGGTTTAGGATAAACTAATATTAAATTCAATATACCCATCTAATAGGAATTATCATGAGAAAAATAAATGTTTCATCTAAAATCTACTATTCGTTAGTCAACATAATGTGATTTCAATTGGATTCTCTTTCGCGATCGAATCGATAATTAATCAATATTAATATGATAAACAAAACATGAAATTATTCGAATATGTTTTTATTTCAACAAGAATATTCATACAACTTTAGATTATAAACGTTTGCTCCTATTGATTGATACATATGGCTAGTCATGAATACATATCATGTTAAATATCTTTATTTTTCTCTGATTTAATTCCTTTTGTCATAAAAAAATAGCCTTCAAAAAACAATAAAAATAAAGTATTTCGTAGAGAAAAAAAATGTCTATCATATTGAACATCTAAACATTTTCCACATTCAACATGATCAATTGTCTGGTGGACTCTCTTTTAAAGTTATTATGGACTTTAAATAATATAGATTATTGACTTTTGCTTTTTAATGATTTGTTTGATTTCTTTTAAAACGATCGAATCATTGGTGCATTTCTTTACAGGAAGTTATTCGTGATCCAATGGAAAAATATCGTTGTTCAAGATTAACTGATTAATTAAAATGTTCAACTAAGATATCTCAAATTTAGTAAGATTCGAGCATTTAATACAAATATAATATATTTTGTAATTTGATATTGAAAAAAATGAAAGGTGTCTATTTGATAAAATTTCTTTGATTCTTTTAGCTTGTTGACAATTCTGACCAAGTGTCAATGCTCACTTTTCTTTTCTCTGTGTAATAGATATAGTGTACAACGATTATTTTCCTTTCTTTTCTTTATCAAGAAGATTGCATATGCTCAATTAAAACAGCAACGACAAGAAGAAGAAAATATTCAAGTATATAGAATGCAGACAGATGTTCTTTGTTTTTCCGGTTCATTGAATTTTTGATAAATGAGCAGAAACGAAGAGCCATTCATTTCACTTTCTTTTTATTGCCTATGAATATATATATATATGTATATAAATATGATTGTTTCATTTAATTCTAGTCTGTAAATATTCAAAGATTTTAACACATCAATGACAAAAGAAGAATCACCCATTCTTCAAGATATACTTTTTAATTCAACAGCAATGACATACGATAATAATGAAGACTGTCAACTTTCTATCGATTTTACTGATATTGACAGTAAGTTTCATTTAAATTGTACACATATATATTGTTGGATAAAAGTTTTGAATAGTTGGATTTTTGAGCTTTTGTTCTTGATAGTCATAGCTAGAAAAAAATTCGAAAACATATTTGAATAACTGAAGGAATACTTTAAGAGTTTTCTGGCATCTATTTGCAATTGGTTGAAAATGGGTTCATTTGATAGAACAAAATGAGATACCTTCGTTCTCTCTTTATGACTTTCCTTTATCGAATCGTATTTTATTTACAGAGGACCCAAGAAATTTTTTTTATCGTTCTATTTAACCCTTTACCCCCCATAGCGGCTCCGGAAGAGCCACTGATAAAATAACTTTAATAAATAGAGTATTAGCCTGTCGAATATGCCAATGGTGTGGCCTAATCCACCGAATGTTCTGATTCTGGAGTAAGGAAAGGATGTGCGGTGTGAGATTACTGAACACCCATTAACACCGACAGTGACGATCAGTGTGCACTGATCGTCACTGTCGGTGTCAAAAGTGTCGGTTTTTTCAGTGATGTTACTGACACCGCACATTCATAGAGTAGGGCGGTTTGATTGATATAAAAATCATGTGGTGGAAAATGAGAATTGAACGACATCATAAGGCTTAATTTTTTTTCTTTGACCACATTATTGACTTGACAGAAGCAGAATCTATCTCGTACTGTTGAAATGATAGGAAAAACGCAACGAGTGAATCGATAAACATTAACATAAAAAATGCATGCTTTTTTTACACCTATTGCCAAACTTAAGCCTATTTTATTTTGAGCCATTTTGTAACGTCTGGAGGGATGTAATTCGGCTACTTCTTGATTGCAGACACCAATTAAGGGAAAATATCTGCAAAGCAGAATCGGGGGGTGAGACAAAAATGACCGCTAACTGGAACAGGTTCACTTTGTGGAATCAAGATTTATTTATTATATGAAAAGAATACACAAAAAAATCATTAATGAAAGACAAATGAACATTTAACTTTGTTGAGGTTCATAGTCAAGATCATCCTTGTCAAATGTATCGAATACATTGATATATCGATAACCAAGTGAACGTAATCTTTGTTGATAATCTTTAAGATCCAATAGACCATCTAAATAATCTTGTTTTGCTTGAATTCGTTTACTTTCGCTTCTGTTCAAAATGCAGATGTTTTTTTCTCCCTCATTTCCACTTTGCAGTCATTTTTTGTCTCTCCCCCCCGATTCTGCTTTGCAGTCACCAATTAAGAGAAAATGTCTGCAATCAAGAAGACACGTTTAATTCATCATAAATACTATTTCGACTTCTCATGAGTTGAGGTCTATAATGCATATATTAACTTTGTTTTTGATTACCCTCCATCTGTCTAACAGTGACTACATGGTCAATTATATTCCTTAGTATGTATAATTTGCGGAGTTATCATGAAGCTTTCGAAACATATCTAATTCAGCAGTGGACTTCTTCATCGATTAATATCACACAGAAATTCCAAAAGATCTCTATCGACTGCAAGTGGAAAACATTTTGTTTAAAAAATTTCGAATTTTTGCATTATTTTTCAAAATTTTTGATTTTGTAAGTCATATATCTCGAAGGCAGAGCAATGAAACAAAATATTATTTTTACCAATCGATAGCTTGTAAAGTTCCCTACAAATAATATCTTGGTAGTTTCTCACTCTCATGCTTCCTTTATTTTCTGTGATCGTTCTACAAATGGGTCATATATGACCCACTGGGGGTAAAGGGTTAATCTAAATGAAAGCATAATTACACATTCTAGATGTTGAAAAACTACGGTTTTGATGTTCTGAAGTCTCTATGTTAGAAAAAATTTGGAAAATAAACCTTATTGAATAATTTTGGTACCCACTATATATTGTGCAAGTTTATATCGTTTAGTTACATGTGATTCTGATCAATTTTTGTCTTCATTTGATATATGTTCTTTGAATTATTCAAAAGAAGACGACAAAGAAGAAAAAATCTGTATCGATCAACTTTTATTAAATTCAAACTTCGATATTCCACAAAGTGAGTAGCATAATTATAATTCTTTATTCTCAAAATCAGGTTGAAGTTTTGATGTTTTTTGCTTTTTTCTATTTTCTATTTTTTTTGTATGCAATAGAAGATATTTCTTATGTTTTATGGTCCATGGCCATATATATGAAAAAAAAAAAAAATAAATAAATACAACTTCGCATAAGAGAATGTTATTGTAATAATAAAAATGAGAACAAAATTCAAAAGTTCATAAGATAGTGGGGACAAAATATGAATTTTAGTTTTTACTAATCTTCTTAATCATTGAGGCTTGTTCGTATTATTATCAAACGGTTTCATCGTAGCCGTGTCGAAAGCATAATATTTCTCTAATTTATCAATCACTATATATCAATTTAGATTAAATATGGCAGTATTTGTATTAAGTCAATAGTACCTATTCTACAATCCAGACGTGAATGCGGAAAAATAGAAAGATTCAATATCTGCTAATCAAAAATTATTTCTTTCTTTAAAAGGCAAGATTTTTTAAGTAAGACACTTTTGAAAAGGTGATACATATTAACAAATAGAAGTGATAATTTGTTTTATTCATTTATGACACTTGTCTTACTTTGATTCTTTTATATGTCATTATGATGTATTTCTCACATTTATTCTTGGTTGAATGTTTGCTCATACATATTAACTATTCTTTGAAAATAGCAATTTAACTCAATTATTCTTATTTGTATAGTTATAAAAGAAATGAAGATCGATTTGTGAATGTTGGACATGATGATTATCAAGTGAGATGATGATTAGAAAAAGAAGTATACGTAACTCGTATAGATATTACACTTTTGTATGAATCCGTTTTTATCTATGATAAATAAATCAATTTGAAAAGCTTATGTTACACTTTTTTACATACATATTTTCATATATCTTCCATAAATTTATTTAGTCATTTCTGTTCCATCATCAACTTCGTCAATTTATGCTGATCAACAACAAAATATTGTTTCATATGATTCTGTAAGTTTATTATAATTCTTTCACTATGTTATATAAATATTTATACTTGATTTAGCCATCAGTAGATTTACAACATCATGGTATTTTCCTTTCATTTATTAATCCACCAGAACCGGTCTATCATGTACGTTACTTAAGCGAAATTACAAATCTACCAATCGATGGACATCTAGTCACTACAAAGAAATTAAAGAAAAAACATCTGTCAGGACGATATATCAAAGGAATACGTGGTCGTTATGTCACTGTTGAGGTAAGTGAAGAAGAAAATTGAAAAGGCAACAATAATGATTTTTGATAGAAGAATTATATTTGATATATTCTTGTATCAAATATAATTCTTTTATCAAAAAAAAACAAAAAAAAGTCATATCAATATATTCCTTCTTCGTATTTTAGCTTCCGACAATTCTATCTGATAATTCTAATCTTTTTATACGTGTTACTCGTCTTACTGTGCCGTATCAAGATATATCATTTATTCATCCATATCCTCTTCTATATTCATGTGCAAAGAAAAAAATGCGCTCTGATATCATTATTCAAGGTTCATCAATCTATTTTAAGATAAACAAAGATGAGATTTGTTCTCGTTCAAAACAGTATGTTGTCGAATAATTAAATATGAATTAAAATAGTATATTTCAATTATAGTTTTTCTCATATCATTTTTACACGTCTTAAACAATGTCATCTTAAACATATAAACACTTTATATTCATTTGGTATGATGATAAGCTAATGTTTATTTTTCAAAATTCAATTTATCATTTCTAGATAACAATGAAATGTCTTATCCATTTATTGGAAATAATGCTAAAACTAAAATTGCATATTATCAATTAAAAAAATCTCAACTTGATTTTCGTCTTGTAATTCGATGTGAACAAACTGGTGAATTTTTTAATACAAATATTTATTGTCGATCAAATCCATTACTTGAAGGTAGTTTTTAAATATTTTTTTTTTTTATTATTTCTAAATTTTCTTTTTCTTTTAGAAGAAGGTATGGAATTGAAAAAATCATTAACATCATAAAATTAAGCTTCTTTTGTTTTTGAACTTTGTAAAAACGTTTTAAGTGATTTATTTGTTATTATCTTTGATGTTTATTTGTAAATAAAATGGATACCGCATATGATTTCTCTTAGTTCTTTTTTGATTGACAATTTAGTAAACTGTGAAAAAAAGTTGTTGAATGAGCAAAGAAGAATTTAATTGACAACAATTGAATGTGATTGTGATGGATGAGTCAATCAATTATATGTATCATGATAAAGAAACTGAACGAAATTTTTATGTTGAATATTTACTTTAGAGTAACTGAGTGATTCATTTTGAAATGTAAAATAAATTAGAGCTTAGACTTTTCGATGAACATATTTTTCTTTTTTTCGATCATGTCGATCATTCACAATTCAATAATGGTTCATTAAGAAAAGCAATAAATTTAAATCAGGTCAATTAGAAATCACTGATATGAAGTATATGAATTTCTTTTCATGGTTATCTTGTCACGTATTAGATAAATATTTTAATATTGTTAATGATAAAAGAAATCAAAATAGATATATAGAGAAGATATGAATTAAAATATAAATTTTCTGAACATTGAAAAATTCAATTGTTGAATTTCAAGTGTGTTTTCATAATGAGATTGATAATCACGATATGTCATTTAAGCAAAATATGGCTACATCCATTTTGCGGACATTTTTTTTCAACCAATTAAGAGAAAATGTCCGCAAAGTAGAATCGGGGGGAGAGACACAAATGACCGCACGTTGGAAAATGTCCGCAAAGTGGAATCAACAGAGAGAGACAGAAATGACCGCATTACAGAATGAAGACAAAATTTATTATGTGAAAAAAATACAGAAAAATTGATTGATGAAAGACAGTAAAATATCTAATTTTGTGGAGGTTCATAATCAAGATCATCCTTGCCAGTTGTATCGAATACGTTGATATATCGATAACAAAAAGACCGCAGGGTGTGGGTGGGGTATGGACGTGGGTGTGGATGTGGGGTGTGGGTGCGATATGGGTGTGGACGTGGATGTGGGTGGGGTGGGGGTCTTTGTTTATACACATCCACACCACTCCCACACCCATACCCACCCACACCCCACACCCCACACTTCACACCCACACCCTCATTGTTTACGATGGACATTTTTTTCATTTGATTTATCTAACTTGATTTCGATTACTTTAAATACATTCGTTCACAAAAGCGTTGAAAAATGGCCTCGACGGTGCGTGACATTGAAAACTAGACTAGCTCGAAGGACGTGATATTCATTCTTAAATCGAGCTACCTACACTGATCACCCTGAATATATGTCTTCGCTTGTTTCCATAATGCGATCATTTTTGTCTCTCTATCTATCGATTCCGCTTTGCGGACATTTTCCAACGTGCGGTCATTTGTGTCTCTCCCCCCCGATTCTACTTTGCGGACATTTTTTTCCTCCAATTAAGGAAAAATGACCGCAAAGTAGAAGACACGCAAAATATAATATCTTCATGACATGTCAACGCTTCGAAATATTTTTACTTTTTAAAATTGCTAATGTTTCTTGTATTTGGAAATAGATCAGAAAAGTGGAAAACAATGATGTTTTACTGAAAAAAATGTATTTCTAATGAAAACTCATCGGTGAATGATGATAATGAGGAACCATATGACGAAGTCACTGAATACATGTAGAGAAAAATGAATTATCAAAAAGTTCTATTCCAGCGTCATCAGCAACAAATAAACATATGCTTAATGTAATCAATCGGATTTTAGAAGAAGAAAGACACCAAATGAAACTCAAATCCTTATAAGTAACTCTGTTTGAAATACTAAAATATGACTTATATTGGTTAATAGTTAATGTTTCATACTGATTTTAATCAAGAATATTAGACTCTATAGGTGCTAAGATAATTAATTGGATATAGAAATTTTTGAGCCGAACACAAGTTTAATATTGATGTCGTAGCGAATCGTTCATGGTCGAATTACTCAAACAATCGTACAATATTAAGAAAAAAAGGTTTTTTACCGAGTTTCTGAACAGGGAAAGGAAGTATTTTTTTGTAAAAGTGTAAACCGGTCGGTATAATACGCGGATGATTATGTTTTGATTGGCAGCTTATTGCCTGTATATTTGTGGTAGTGCGAACAAACATGCAACACAAGTAATTACCTGAATTTGATTTTCAAATCGAAGAGAAAATTCTAGAGGAGCGAAGTCTCACTTAGTCTGATGGCGGACTTAGAGAGAGAATACAACGCATTGGTCTCCACGTTCTTTCCGGTATGCCGCCACTCTATTAATTTCCTGGATCTGTCAGTGTTCTAGCCTAGTGTTCTGCTTATATAGGTATACTCATCGCCATCTATGGATTTTTCTCAAAGGAATTTTTCATATAGAATAATGTTTCGCATATGTAATGTCAACAGAAAATAAGGCTTCTTCCCCCTTAAAAAGTCAATTTTCATCAAAATTATGGAAATTAAGAAAATGCACGCGAGGATATTTCAAGGCTTGGTCTTTTATAAATAACATGATTTTCCATTTGTTATCTCTTTTTTTGAGAAAATTGTTGGTGATTTCTGGAGACGCATTTCAGAATTTTTTGATGAAGATCTATCGTTGGAAAGAGCATATCATTATGCTCTACAATCTAACTAAACATGTGCAGGAGCAAGGTTTTTTTGTTCCAATTTAGATAAACATCTAACTTATTTAAAATGATTTTTTTTTAACCAAATCAGAAAACATCACCAGAAGAGACAGTTTCTCAACCGTAATACCACTGTGCTTCTACGCTTTATGAAATACAGGAATATGCAGTATGCCCTTTGATCATGATGTGGGTTTTTTTTGCATTACAAGATCTCAGTATGAATATAGTAAATTGATTTATGATGTACGAAAAACGACACTTGAAAAGTGATAGAGCACTCTACAACCCTAACATATCTTGAAAAATATCATGCATTTTTAATATATATCTGTCTCAACATATTTTTTTAAGTGATGACAGTCTTAAAATATTAAATAGCATGTACATCTTTCTAGTGACATCTTTCGATGGATTAATAATTCTAATATTAAAAATTTCTTAATAATTCATTAATATTTTAAATAAAATATTTTTGAAATTATCTTTGAAAACAATTTTTTTCTTGAAATTGATATTGTATTTTTAACTTTAAAACTCTCTCAAGACGTATAAGAGAGTCCAATGGCAATCGATTGTTTGTTATTTATTCTATTTAGATTATAAAAATTTTCTATATTTTATATCTATCATGTATCTAAAATTTTTTTTTTAGATATATCAGTCATTCTAAAACACGAACATTTTCATCTCATCATGTCTCGACGTGTTCGTACAACAACAGCAACAACATCCGGTATATCTTCATCGAAATCAAAGAAAACTTCTATTCCCATTCGAAAACTTTCTCATAATATTGTACAAAAGAAAATATCATTAAAAAAATCTTCACCAACAAAACGTTATCTTGAACAAACATCATCAACAATAATACAGCCAAAACAAAAACGTCTTTCAAGTTTAACAGCAACAACACTTCTTCAATATTGTGCAAGTATTCTATCACCATCAAGAAAATTAAATCATTCAATAAAATCAACTTCTACTCTATCGAATAATTCAAAAACAATTAAAGTAAATATTCAATCAAAAACAAAAAAAACATTTTCTAAATTGAAAACAAACAAATTCTTATTTATCTAGACAAAACAATCATCCATAGATAATCAACATCTTCCACGAAAACGTCAAATTTCAAATGTTTCCTCGAAATCTGATATTAAACATACACAAACAGATATTCATATGCCTACTCGTATACGTCGTGAAGCAAGTTCACGTGCATCGGCTATGATTATGCAACAAAATGAAATTGAACGTAGTCGTTATAATTATTCTCTCAATAATGAACATTCGACATCAAGTATTCGTCGACATCGTACAAATAAAGTTGATATACCATCTCAACCACCTTCTACTGAATCAAATCAATGTAATATTCCATCATATCCTGCTCCTCCACCATCTATAATTCATATACCAATTCAAACAGAATATTATCAATCATCAAATAGTGTAACAAATATATCATCAACTAATTCAAAATCTTCATTATTAACTGAAGCTAGTTTAGCTGAACATAATCGTTTATATGAAACAATACCTTCATATCATACAATAAAACGTGATAATCTTATTAAATGGACACAAGAAATAGATTTACATGATCATTTATCACCACCATATCCTGAACATGAAATTTCAATTGAATCATCAAATCCAATATATAATCAATCTACAGGTTTAATATTATATTTTAAATAGAAAATTTCTATTCAATAATAATCTATATTCTTTTTTATTTTAGAAGTATCATTAATTACTGATTCAAAAACAATGGATTCTATGATATCGAATAGATCAACACATTCATTTGAACATTTATCAACAAGAAATAATATTAATCATCCTACTTTTCTTTTTCCATCAGCTGCATATTCTCTCGATTTACATTCATTTTATCCTATTTTACCTTGTTGGCAATATTCAAGTAAGCTATATGAATAATTTATATATATTATTGGATTTATTGTTTTTATTTTGTTTTTGATATTTTCTATATGCGTATTTATTTGTTAAATTTTTTTCGTGTATTATAAAAGAACAAGTTGAGTTTTATAACTGGGAATACGATCTATATATATATATAATACATGTATAGAAAGAATATGAATATTAAAATATCAATCAATTATATTTTCCCTTTTCCAATTACCATGTTATTCGATTATTGTAGATAGAAAAGAATATTTTAACTGTGACTGAAAAACCAGCTATTGGTATGTAAGAACTTCGAATAAATTTGCACATACAGTCACATACTTATTGTATACGCTTTCTTTTATTTCCCTTTTATTTTATTTTTTCGTATTATTTATTGCACTATAAAATATATGATATTAAAGAGAAACTTAATGATTCATCTTCTTATGCTTAATTATCTTCGAATATTTACTTATAATATTATTCATATGTTTTCTTTTTCCATATTTAGCTTGGCCATTTCAATCATCAATATCTTTACACAATCAAATTCAACCGTCATCATCATTATCAATTAATCACAAAACATCTGTAATAAAATCCGAAAATAAAATAAAAAAATTATCAATACTGAATTCAAAACAAAAACAAGAAGAATTATCATTATCAAAAACCGATAGATTAACATTTCATTTACATACACATCATCATCATCATATACATAATAATACAAATTCATCATCATCATCACAAAAAGCTAAACAATATCAAAAAATTGATACTATTGTAAAATTAAATGATAATAATAATCTTATTGAAAATGAATGTAAAAATCGATCATCAACAATTGAAAATAGTGTATTGAATCTCTCAATAAATAATAAAACAAATTTAGATCAATTAAATGAAACAATAAAAAAAACGACGCGAAGAAAGTCTTCTCCAATCAAACGAACGATTAATAGTGGAACAAAATCGAATAGGTGAGGAAAAAAAAAGTGTTATATCACTTTTGATATAAAGTTTATCACATTTAATAGGCTCTTTTGAAATTAACTTAAGTCTAAAATAATTTATGGGTATAGAGTTTTTCTTTTTGAGTTATGATCGTTCTAGTAAGATTTTCAATAGAATTAAATAACCTGGACATTTCGACGAAAATTGGAAGCGACATTCATTTGCAATTTCAATAATTTACACTCGATGGTTAACTTTTTGAATACAACATTATGCTAACTCTTTTAGAATGTCGATAGGTCCTAGACTCGAAAAAAGTCAAGTATCGTTCTGTATGAAAAAGATTTGATCTAAAAACTTCTCTTTTTGTAAAAAGTACGCATGTTTTTAACAAGTAATCTTCAGTGCGCACACTTTAGTGCAATTGTCCACTCGATGAATTTTTCATAAAATCAATATGAAAAATTACGTCGAATGATGCGACATTTGTATTAATGTTTTTATTTAAAACATTCCCGACAAAAGTCCAGAGTAAGACTTCCTTCATTAAAGTTTAACGATTCTAAAATCACCGAAACTGTGGTTTCCAAAATATCACATGGAATTGGAACCGTTTAATCATCAGATCAATATCAGACGATATTCGTTTAAAGAATTTTAGTTATATAGAGTTTGAGCTCGGAAGTTGATCGGATCGAAGTCAAAGCATTTCATAGAAAGATCCATAAGCACCAATTCTTTTTAAATTTTTCAAATTTCACAAGGGCTGATGTTAAGAACCAAAATAATTAGTTCATGAGAAGGTTAAAATATAAGAAAAACATGTTTTTTGTTTCTTTCCTTTTCTGCGGTATCAAGTGTTCAAGTCAAAATTCAATGATGGTTTGAATATCTAATGCAGTTCTCTATGAAATGAACTTCAGACTGAAATTTTATAAATGATTTATGAGAGGAAGGTTTTTGGTAAAAACAAACAGCGTCGTTATAAAGACCTTAAAAGAATGCTAAGAGTACCATCTTAAAGATCTATAAATCGGAATAAAAATAGCAATTGTCGAATTTCTTACGAGTTTCTTTTTAAATGTTTTAAATATCGTAAAACGAAGATTATCACACCATTGCTAAAAAAGTCACTTTGTTTTTGTAATGTTTATAACTTTTTAAGAAAAGGTTGAAGAAAATTCGACAAATTTGATTTTTATTCTACATTTTATGGCCTTTAAGATGGATAATCTTAGCACTCTTCCAAGATATTTAATCGAGAACTTCATTGTCTACTCAAACCACTAATTGGATTAGTACTTTCCATAAATCTTTAACGTAATGATAATAAACTCTAAGAGAAAATAATCTGAACATCATTTATTCTTCTATCACAACTATAATTATTCTTCTATTTTAGTGCATCTACTCCATCAATAGGTGACAAAGTTTCACAAACAGATAATTCCACAATAACACCTTCAAGAAAAACAATCAATAATAATCAATCAAGAATTATTTTGTCAGCATCAAATAATCTCAATGTAAACGATAATTCATCTGTAGATAATCAAAAATCTTCTGAATGTATTCCTAAACGCCGAAGTACTTCATCAACTACGGCAAATTCTATTACAAATATTTCAATAGCGAATAAAAATTCAGATGAAAAACGTACACATTCAGTATCAAATATTTCCTTACGATCAAAATCATCAATAAATAAAAAACGATCATATTCACCAACATTAACATTATCAAGTAGAAATTCTAATCAAAGAAAAAAACAAAAAATTTTAAATTATTGGATTTTATTTGGAAAATCAGAACAAAAATTTGTTTCAATTTATGTAAGTTGTTTGTTTTTTTTTATTTCACAGATTTTTATAACCAAAAAAATGTTTTTTTTTTAACTTAAGCCTGATAAACCACCAGTTGTTCGCGAATGTTATTCATCAATTCAACATATAACAGAAAAAGATATAATTAATTCTAATGATTGTATTATATTACGTCCTGAAAGTGATACAGATAATGATGCTACACCATATGTAGCTAAAGTTAAATGGTTTTGGAAAGAACCAACATCAGGTAAACGAATATTTTTATAATTTTCTTTGTTTTTTTTTTTACATAATCGAAAACTTTCTTTTTCTCTTGCAGATGAAATTCAAATGTCACTTATATGGTATTATCATCCTGAACATACAGAATTACCAGCACATGTTAAAGAACATTTTCTACCAAATGAACTTTTAGCTTCAAGATATTCTGATTGTGTTAATGTAGCTTGTATTGAAGATAAATGTTATGTACTTAATTTAAATGAATATAGTCGGTAAGCATTTATATGATATCTATACAGATAATGAAAATATATTTCGAAGAAGATGAGAATTTGAACATATGCTTCTGTAGTAACATATTAATCTTGATCAATAATAGGTTAAGTCCGAGAAATTTTCAATCTTTTGATTACTATATTTGACTCTTGATATAAAAAAATCATATCCGAAATATTCTAAAGCATTGAAGATTTTTTTGAAAAAAACCATCTTCATTAAAAATTATGAAAATGAAATATATACAACACTGTCAAATATTTCATCTTGAGAAATTTTGCTTATTGAGCCAATCACTTTCATTCAAGTTTTCTTGATTTTATTTTTCTTATATAGTTATTGCCTTCGTGAAAAATCAACGAATCTCTTCGAACATTCCGAACCAATCGGACAATTAAAGTCACTATTAAATAGAAATACTTCGACTGTTTATCATCAATCATTACCGGCTACAACTGTCGGTAATCAAAATATATTTTTTTGTCGTTATGTATATGATTATCGTGTTAAACGGATTTTAAAAAATCCAAGTTTAAATAATTCAAATGCTTATCCAATGACAACAACAACAACAACAATTTCTTTAACTACACCATCAAGCATGTAAATCTTTTTTATTTGTTTGTTTTTGTTTTATTTCTATTGTTGTTTGAAAATTAACTAATTTTATTAATGCAATTATGACATTTCAAACTTTGTTTTTTTGTTGTTTATCTCATTTTCTGAATTCAATAGAAATGAAATAATAGATATGATTGTTTATTTATCTAGACAATAAAATATATTTGGCTAAAGTATGTGTGATATTCTCAAATTTTGATTTTTTCTGTCATTTATTATTGTTGGTATTCTTCTTTGTGTTTTTTTTTTCTATTATACTCTCATTGCTTCTTTCGGTTAAACTTGATCTTCAATGCTCATAGCAATGATTATTGTTAATATCTCTAGTGTACATTTTTTCTTGTTTTCTTTTTTTATGAACAAAAACAAAAAATGATTTGAATGTTTGTATATTTATATATACATATATTTTTTTTTTGTTTGTGAGTTGTCTCTATCATTTTTTTTCTCTCTCTTTCTCGTGTGTGTGTGTATATATTTTAAAAAAATATAAAAATATTTTAATCCGAAAGTTTGTTTTTGTTCTATTGTAAATATTGTTATTTCTAGATCTATAATAAGAAACAACCATGTCAGCCAAAAGAGGTCGTGGTGGTGTCGGAGGTGGTAAATTTCGTATTTCACTTGGTTTACCAGTCGGTGCAGTAATCAATTGTGCTGATAATACAGGTGCAAAAAACTTATTTGTTATATCAGTTAAAGGTTTTGGTGCACGACTCAATCGTTTACCAGCTGCTTGTGTTGGTGATATGATTATTTGTAAGTTTAACCATTGAATATATATTGTTTTAATCTGTATGAGAAAATTTCGATACTAAAACAATATTTTTTCACATTTCTATTGAAATGAACGAATATTTTGTCAAATTACTTTTTGATAACTTGTTGAAATAAGATTTAGGCTTTCGTTGCATAGATTAACATATATAATAATGCATATTTTATTTTTCTTTAGCAACTGTAAAGAAAGGCAAACCTGATTTACGTAAAAAGGTTATGCCCGCCGTTGTCATCCGCCAACGTAAACCATTTCGTCGAAAGGATGGTACATTTATCTATTTTGAAGATAATGCTGGCGTTATTGTCAACAACAAAGGTGAAATGAAAGGTTCAGCTATAACAGGACCCGTGGCTAAAGAATGTGCCGATTTATGGCCACGTATTGCTGCCAATGCTCAATCTGTCGCTTAAAACAAACAAACAAACAAATATATCCATCATACCGACAACAAAAAATAAAAAATAAAGAAAAAACAATTTCATATTGTGTGTTTATTATTTTGATTAATAAGATCTTATCGAAATATACAAGCATGTTTTGTGAAGAAAAAGAAATACTTTTTTTTTTTTAAATTTTATTCTAGCATCGAAATAGAAAAATATTCGAAAGAGAGAAGTAAAGATAAATTCGAATGAGAATTATTTATGGTATATTTAAGTTTAGTGAATTGTTTAAGAAGAATTGTTTTGTTTTTACATTTATTGAATATTTCTTGGGTAATTAATTCTTAAATAATATTGTTTTTTTTTTTATTCGAATTTGATTGACGAAGATGGATTTGTTTGATAGAAAATGTTATATGTTTTTAAACATTTATTTAATTCATTTAAATTCATTCAATGGGGAATATATAAAAGGTGATTGAATATTTTGTTTGTGCTTGATTTATAATGTATTGATGCTTGCCATAGAAAATGTTTTTTGTATTTGAGATATTTTTGTAATCGATGAATTTTTCGATTGAATATTTCCATACAGTTGAAAAAATTTAATAAATAATTTCATTCATTTTATCTTGCATAGTTAAACAACGATAACTAGTCTTATTAACTTTCAATATTACTTATTTTTCCATTGTAATTTTCCTTCGAATATACATTTAGGAATAAAAACGTGAAATGACTTTAATGATTTCCTTTTTTTTTGACGAATGATTCGATTGCTTCGGACATTTATGGATAATTTATATCTCTAAATCAGAGTGGATGTCAATGTTGTTATATTTTAGATTTTATAAATGACGTCATTTATTGATAGTCTTGCAGCTAATGAAAAAACAGCAGTGATTATTGATATTGGACATGCATATACAAAGTGAGTAGATTAGACATTCATTCAATGAAAAGTTTGTCAAGAATAATCTAATCGATAATAAATTAGAAAACTGTTGTGTTATTTCTGCATGCAAGAAATCACTATGCGTTTCACGATATAGTATAGGTAATGGTTACCTGAAGAATTCGAGAACACAATAGAATAGGAAGATCGGAGCACATAGTATTGTAAAGAAACTATAATTTTCGAGTAAGTCTCTGAAGATATGTGGCCGAATCTTTGCAAGTTATTTCGCTGATCGTGGAAATTTGAGTGGATTTATTTCTCGGTCCATCTATGTCTTCACATAGCTTTACCTTGATCTGTTTGGGTGGTATACCTTATACATTATTAAACTTTAGGAGATGTATCTCTTTACAATTGCGGCGATAGGAAAAAGCAGATGATCACATTCAAAACGACTAGCTTTTTTAGGAAGAAAGTCTGATTTTCTATTATTCTGCTCGTGCAGAGAAACGTTTCTCAACTCTATTCGGAAATTTTCAGTTCGATTAGATGTGAGTCTTCAATTCATTTGTAGAGGAGACGGACATTGTCGCGAGACTCAGCATAACTGAAAATCTATACTAATGTGAATCCAAGTTGAATCGAATAAAAGATGAGGTCCGTGGATGAGTAAAAAGCTCTACAGAACGCGTCGCTTTATAGAGTGAACTCTAATCTAGACGATGGAATTTGATGTCTCGATGTGTTCAAGTTTTTTCTTTCCATTGTTCCCTATTTGTATTATTTTATATTTGTACGACTTCTCTCATGAAGTTTGTTGTCAAATTCACTTTCGTTAACTTTCATATTCTAAAAGAATATCTGGCTAGGTACATACATAGTTAAAATTAACAATTAAAATAAAACAGTTATGATCGAATGTAAAAATATAAAAGTAGATTTGTACGAAATTGAGGCAAGTTAACTAGAGCAATTGATAGAGATGCAGAATCTATCCGTGTGCGCGTACGGCCTGCATATGGGGAAATTTTTGAAAACATATTAGAATTTGAGGAAATTTTTTGAAAAATATTTTTTCCTCTCAGAAAAACATTATTCAACTTTGCAAACGAATCTTTCATTGAGCTTTATAGTTGAGAAAGTTTTTTCATTTTACCGACAGATTCTGCAACCCTGACAATTGAATGATGAATCTGAACAATGTTTATATAGAAGTATATATACTGATCATTTTAGTCAATTCTTTTTACTTAATATTATTATTTAACGTTTAAGTTTTAACAATGAATTGACATATAATATTGAATTTAGATGTGGATTTGCTGGTAATTCTGCACCACGTCATATCATTCCGACTAGAGTTACAATAAATGGCAATGTATTCATCAATATTATTCAATTCGTAAAGTTATTTTTCTTTATTTAGACACAACATGTTTTTGATAATAATTCAGATCTGACAAGTTTACGTGATCGTCTCACAGAATTTATTCGATTAATTTATTATAAGTATGTTGAATGTTTGAACAGTAGATATAAAAATGACATTTATGTCATTTAGATATAATATCGCAAATTGTCGAGAACGACGCGTTGTAATTATCGAATCAGTAATTACACCTACACGTTTTCGACATTTACTCGCTGAAATTTTATTAAAACAATTCGAAGTCTGTTTAAATAATTCATTATTAATATTGTTACAAACGTTTTTTTATTTTTTTTTTGTTATAGGCATCATCTTTAGCATTTGTTCCATCGCATCTAGGTGCTACGTATACATTAGGACGAAGCACAGCACTTGTTCTTGATATTGGTTATAAAGAAGCTCAAATTATGCCTGTAGCCGAAGGTGTACCATTAGCAGTTCAGTTTGATAGTTTACCATATGCTGGCCAAGCCATTCATAAGTAAGAATTAACAATAAATTCTAACTAAAATGAACATGGAGACTTTCTAGAAATACGAGGACCACAAATACAACCTCATACTAAAATAAAGAAAGAAAGGAGACAATATGAAAATAATTTATATGATTAGTCTTTCTCAAAGGTTGTACATGAGCCGCTAATGCATAATCTTGTTGGTCAGGTTTGCTTGGCTAAAACATTCTCAGTGGCAGACTTTGTTGATATACAATCAATAGTTATATATCAATAACGTCTCGTTTACAGTTTCTTATTGCATTTCTGAAGGATTCAGCAAAACGATAATGAAGTAAGAGTGTGCCAAATTCGATATAATAAAAAAATCTCGCTGTGATTATCAATAACAGCTACATTGCGTTTCAAATTTTGATTCCGAAGGCATTGCGCTGACAGCTTTTTTTGTCTGATATATTTTCGTTTTTTTTTTTTAGAGAAATCGAATTACTGCTTGGACAACATGCTTTAGTCATTCATCAAGGACAAAAACAATCATTTAATGAAGCGAGTCTCAAACTTTCAGATGATATTCTAGAAGATATCAAAGGTTTGACTATCTAATCATTGAACAAAGCACAAAGAATTTTACAATGTTTATTTTAGTTCGTTGTTGTTTTATCTCACCATTTACTCGAGCACAAATCTATGCTAAGAGTAAATTAGATTCAAATGAAACGTTTAGAGAAGCTTCACCGGTTGATTATCCATTAGGTCCAGAAACAGTTATTCATATTCCGGGCATTATTAGGTATATTAAATTGTTATTTCTAATCGACTATAAATATTCGAATTTATATAGAGAATTTGCTTGTGAAGTTCTTTTTGAACAAGATATCGATGGAAAATCTGTTGCAACATTAATACTTGATAGTCTACTTCAAGTATGAATGATAAAATATAATTTATCATGAAAATTTGTTTTTTTTTTTCATTGATGATAGTCTTCACTTGATCTTCGTCGACAATTTGCTGATAATATTCTTGTTATTGGTGGTACAG